CAGCGCCTATTCTGGCGCCTAAAACCTAGGCGGCCCAGTAGAAAGAAATTTTTTTTGAGCTTTTTCTCTTTCTAGAATAGGCTCTAATGGGTTTTAGGGTTCAAATTAACCTAAAACCCACAATTTTGCCTTTTTAGTATCAAAAAAAATCCAAAAATGCCCTCAACGAGTGGCATTTCCTCCCTTGGGCGGGATGCAGGCCTTGGGCGGCCGCCTAAGCGGGTTCCGGGTGCCTAGGAAGGTGCCCAGGGATATTCGCCTAGTTTGGCTGCTTAGGCTTGGGCAATGCACCCAAGCCTTCTAGACTGCCCACCCAGGCGTTGGGCGGTCCGCTTTTTAAAACATTGCCTGCAAGCGTTCCTACATTCCATATGGCTAGACAAATCCTATTCTCTTGAACTAGCTTCTTTACTCGCGCTCGTCCAGAAAGTTGCGGGAAGCCTTGCCTATTTTTCACCGCAACCGGCAGCGCTGCAGTGCATCGCTTCTGGGGAATGCCTTAGCCCCTTGCTCATTTTTCACTGTACCTAGGTTCCGGTATAGCGCGTTGCTTCTAAGGAACACCTTAGCATAAGCAAATATAGTAGGTATCTATGATATGTAATAATATATTAGTACTATGCATATTATTAAACTACTATGATGTTTTTTATAAATATATTCTATTATTATTATATTATAATAATATTAATAATATTTTTGTTATTAATATTATATTGATAATATTATTATAATACAATACTATTAACATTTACTATTATTATATTAGTGATATTAATGATTCATGATTATATATCACATTAATTTATCAATAAATTATCAATGGTAATTGCCCAATAATATTTTTAATAATAATAATGATAATAATAATAATAATAATAAACTATTATTATTAGTTTTCATAATATATTATTATGCATATTATTGTACTATTATAATGTTTAATATTAATATATTCTATTTTCATTGTATTATTACTAATACTTTGTTATTGTTAATATTATATTAATAATAAATATTTTATACTCTTGTATTAATGATATTGTTAATTTATTATTATATAATCACATTAATTTATCAATAAATTATCATTGGTAATTTAAACTTCATCCCCAGTTAGTACGATGGGAATAGTGCAAGACAGGAATCAGAGTACAGAAAATTGACTAGGCCAAGGTACTTGAGCCTTGGTTGAGGAGAGTTGCTAGCCAAGTAACTCGCCTGAGTCCAGCTCCAGTTAAAAAAAATAAAAATAAAGAAAAAAAGTATAATATATATAATATAGCCTCCCACTTTCTTACATCAACTATAAAAAAACATGAAAATTAGGTTGCCCGTTATTGGGATGCCCCGTTATGAGAGATCCTGAGTTTGATTCTCATGGTCGCTTTTTTTTTTAACTCCTATTTCTTAACTCTTTAAAAAAAAAGATTATCTAGTGGGTTTTATTAGAAAATCATAGCGATATTCATTGAGGGAATCGATTGGGATGCCCCGTTATGAGAAGTCCTGGGTTCGATTCTTGTGATCACTTTTTTTGGAACTCCTGTTTCTTAACTTTTAAAAAACAAAAGATTGTCTAGTGGGTTTTATTAAAAAATGAGGGCGATGTTTGTTGGGAGAATCGAACCCTAACTGCGATGTTAAATGCACGTGTATACCACCCAGAGTGACATCAATATGTCTTTGACTTAAAATTGACAAATTAATATATATATAGTGCCCCTTGGTAAAACTCACCTTGCCTATAGGGCAAGGATGAGTAACTTGGCCAAGTCCCGATACACTGACAGGGATATAATATATTTATGAGAAACACATAAATAGACAAGCATCTTCCAAGTCTCTTATCAAATGCTATCCAAACAAGAGACACATATAATCCCGGAGATCCCAATTCCAAGAGATGCCAATTCCAAGATAGGCATCTATTCAGGACATTCATCTCCGAGTATCCAAACATGCCCTTAAATATTAAAACCCTCTTAGTTGCACACAATGTAGGAACTTTGGAGCATAGATGAATGCATATAATTTATTAGTTTTAGATAACAAATCAGCAATTTCCTAAGAGATATAGCAAATTTCAAGGGAATCCCCCCTCTCCCACCACCCCCCCCCCCCCTCCCCAGCCCACCAAAAAAAAAAACAAACCCAATAAACCCCTCCCTCCCTCCCTCCCTCACTCATTGAAGCCCCTCCCATTGTTGTAATTCTTAAATAACTTCTATTTAAAAAGTTACCAAATTGAATTTTTTTTCTTGTTTAAACGCGACAGTTACCAATTTACACGCATCAATTACATTCCATGGGTGTCATAATTCTAGTGCTCACTGGTACATACATGGTGGTGTTTGTGTGTTTTTTATATATGTATGTATATGTGTGGACTGCAATTACTTGTGAGTGCATCAGTATTACTTCATTCTAGTGGGGTCTTAAACCCGTTTTTGCATCATGCCAAATTTTTGTGTGTTATGGTCCTTGTATTTCCCATCGTATTCATCTATGGCTGCAATTCGCCAACCATAGATCCACCACTTAACAGTTAGGCATATCATTCTTCACATTTTTTAGTTCCTCCCACAATTTCATTTGTTATAAGTCAATTGTTTCTATTCATCATCAAGACATTGTGATTGTCATCCCCTCCCATGGAGAACATTTGACCAATAAACAATTTTCAACAACCTTCGCAAGCTTTCTACGCAAGAAGGCATTTTGTTTTTTGTTCTTTGATAAGTGTTGACATTTATATTTTACAAGAAGAATTACAGCAGAGTTAAAACATAGAGAGGACCCTGAGAGTGGGTCTCTCATAAAAAAGAAAAAACGAGCTTATAAAAGTGCCCTATACCTGTACCCCATAATGGGGAGAGTACATTAAAAGAAGATAGGGAGACAAAAATAAAAGACAGCTAAGGGTAGGGTCTCAGGTCCAAAAACGAGGTGGCTATGGTGCTGCAAGCAAGGCTACGGTACTTTCCTAGCTTCGTCTTTCGCTAATAGATCCGCGGATTAGTTTGACATCCTCCAAATTTGTCTCCATGAGGCGTTCATATCCTTGCATAATTGAGCAATCTCATCAAATATAGAGGTTAGATACCAAGGTGGTGGAGTTGTCCCCTTAGCCCATGCTATCACGTTTTTGGAGTCTCCTTCAATCTGTGCCCCATGCTAAATTAAAGGATCTAAGACTATAAAGCAGAGCCGAGGCTTTAGCATATTGTGAGTCATAGTGGCCAAGATATTCAGAGAAGGTAAATAAGATCTGGCTATTATGATCTCTGAAACACACCACCCCCCCCCCCTGAGTGGACAGGGTTCCCAATTGAGCACCCATCAAAGTTGAACTTGATGGTTCCTGTGTTTGAGAATGTTTTGCCAGTGTGAGTGGAAAGAATTCGCTGATATGCCCGAGAACAACTTATCAGTTGAGGCCCAAAAAATTACTTGGTAAGTAATCTTGTGAAATAGTGCCTAGGAGTTGTTAGGTTGTCCCTGGAAGATCCTGGAATTTCTCTCTTTCCAAATGGTTGCAGCTACTGTCGCCCCCCCCCACAGTATCTTTCCTGCTTTTGGCCAGTATGCCGCTAAGTCCATTGAGTGAAGGACTTTTAGGGGTGGTGGAGTAACCCAGAGAATATTAAACAACTGCAATACTTGAGTCCACAGTTCATAGGCAGTGCTACAGTGGATGAATAAATGAGTGTTGGTTTCTTCCTCGCCCTGGCACATAGCACATCTGTTGGGCATTTGATGGCCTCTTTTTGCAATTGATCCACAGTTAGTGCCCTTTGAGCAATAGCAATCCAATTGAACATTTGGATTTTGGGAGGGGCTATAGTGGACCAAGCCTTCGAGAGCACTGATTTGGGATTGAGAGGGTGGGTAGGTGGCTGGGTGAGCTTCCTGTAGAAGGAGGAAACAAAGAAATTTCCGATGGGTTCTGGGGCCCATATTAATGTGTCCCTCCCTTGGGAGGGGATGAAGAAGGAGTCAAGTAGGGCCAGAAGTCAGATGAAAGAAGTAGTTTCCTCATCATTGAGATTTCTTCTAAAAGTGGGGGGTGTTCCAAATTCTGGATTTTGCAAGAAGGCATTTTGTTATTACAAAAAATAACAATATGAAACATGTTTAGTTAGGGTACTTGGCTGCCACCTCAAACCATGTAATGAAGGCATGGGCATTTTGGTGATGAGTTTCTTTCTTAAAACTAAAAGTAATTCATGGGCATGTGTGGATGACAATGTCACTTGAACCTTCATTTTCAAATACCATGCCAAACCACAAATCATATCATAGAGGCTTTTCATCTACAAAGGTGAGTGTCTCTTAGGACTTCCTCTGTCTTTCTCTCTCATTGTGTCTCTCTCCCTTGCTTTTCTCTTTCTCACTCTTCCAAATCAGCTCTCCTCTCTCTTCCCAAACTTGTTCTTCTCTGTCCACACTTACATCCACTGGAGGTCCTCCACCAAATCAGAAGCCCCATTGCCATGGCCACTCCTTCAAGCTTGCATTGAAGCCAAGGCCTTTCTTCCAGCAAAATCTATGCATTGTCACATAATAATAAGTGGCTCTCCCTCATTCCACGTGTTAGAAAACTATATCTTGCTCCTCTACACCAAGCTTGGCTCTATTTCAGAAGATGCCCATGTCTTCAACAACATTTCTAGGGTCTTTGCAACCTCTCTGAATGCCATTCTTTCTCCCTACACCAAGCTCAACTTTCTAAAGAAGTATGTCAAGTTTTTTACAAATACCCATATCATAAAAACTCCATTACTTGAAACTCGACGGTCAAATCTTACAAAGGAACAATATGATTTTAAGTGCTAGAAATTTTTTTCATGAAATTCATCATAGACATGATGTATCATGTAACAGAATGCTCATGATGTATCTGGCAAACTAAACATGGTTTCAAGGCTCTTCATAGAGATGGGGAGAGCCAGTTTCAGACTGACTGAATTCATCATAGACTGATTCTTCTCTTTCAGGCAATTATCAGAGTCTCTCAGAGATTTGAATGAAATGGGACATTACTGGCAGCTAAATTACGCCAAACTACAAATCGACGTAAATGTGGTTTGTTTAACTCCAACAAATGGCCATCTGCACTTTTTTCAAAGAACAGATTCACTTTCATTTGGTGCTGAACTGGTAGTTGAACAATCGCATAGAGGTGGTTGGTGGATTTATTATATAGGACTCTTGGGTATGCTCAATTGATAACCACAGGTATGGCAACGACTATGATACTTGACTGACTGCAAAAACTATTGTCAACCATGGCTTATTTGATAATTGGTGATTTTCATTTGGTATGACTCAGTGCAATCAATTTCATAACAAGGATCCACCTCTTGGATAGGCTTTGATGTACAAAGCCAGGATAAGTACATGCAATATCATGGCAAGATCATGAGTTAGCCTCCCTAATAATACCAAATCCATTAGAGCTCACTCTGACCGAATAGTGATGACTTCGGACAGGGAAGTTACACAAAGGACAACAAGATGAGTTCTGGCTTTTTCTTTTTTGTATTTTCTCTTGTCCGAGGTCTCCTCTTTTTTTTGAGGAATTTAAAAATGGCCCACTCCATTCTCATTATTTTTTCTACTAAGAATCACTCTTTGATCCCCAAACCCATTCACAAAACACAAAGAGCTGGAGTTTTCTTAGACATTGGGGTTGCACCTGAATGATTCGAGAGCTTTAATGGCAGTTGCCCTCAAAATGTATTGTCTGAGGTCTCCTCTTGTTATATCAAAGAAAGCATTTGGTTAATAGATTATTTTTTTTTTTACACTATATATTAGGAAAGACCTGGACTTTCTTTTGATTTAAGAGTTCTAAAATGAATTCTAGGGTTTTAGGGTTTCAGCAATGAGTGTGTTTCACCTCTGATAAGTATTCCTTATTTAATCAAATTGCAAGAAAACGGGTCTATTTAGTACTTTTCAAGACCAACACAGTATCCCGATGGTTCACAACTTCGAGTAATTCACATGAAAACACTAAAATTGACTCTAATTTATCATATGTACAACATTAACAATCAAAATCAAGGGACATTAAAATAAAAATTGAATAAATAAATTACTCAGAATTGCTAGACAGACCCCAATAAATTTTTTTGATCAGCTGAAGAACCCAATAAAAACTATAACAGAACCATTTTACATTTGAGATAGACAATAAGCCATAATACAATGCAGACGAAATGCCGACTCAATATGAATCCTCAATGGAGGGCTTGCTATAGGTTGAGATATATATATATATATATATATATATATATATAGAA